CAAGCTCAGCGCCGCCGCGACCGTCCACACGACGACGTTGTTTAAAAGCGTAAAGTGCCGCGTCAACTCACGCGTGAGCGGAAGACAAAGGTCGACAACGATGGCGCCGAGCCACGTGACTTCGCTCGCGGCGAGGAGCGTCGTGTACCACGGCGGCGTGGCTGAGACAAACGCGGCAAATGGCCCGAGAGACGAGAGTCGTAACGTCGATGTCGAGAGGATCGCAATGGCGGTGAGACTGCGAAGGAGGAGGAGCGGACGGCCAACCCAGACGACGCTGCCGACGCTGTGCAGCGAGAGCATGTTGCGACCTTCGACGCGGCCGCGGCTGATCGCAATGTACATCCACGTACACGCTGCGAGACCAATGCCGACAAACATGACGTAATCGTTGGCGGCTTGGGCGTAGGTTGCATAGTTGGTCGGGAACTCGTTGGTTGCGACCGAGCTAATGGCATAGACAATACGACCAGACAGGAGCGTCCACGAGCCGCGGTCACCGGCGAACCGAACGACTTCGCGCTTGCCGAGGAGCCAGTCGTAGATATAAATCCACGCATAGTAGCGGTAGGCAGGATCCCTCACGTTAAAGATGTCGTACGTGTACAGCGTCGCGGGCGCCGTTTGGTTCATCGCGCCAAACTGGAAGAGCTGGATCTCCAGCGCCATGACGTCGGTGACGGCCGCTTCAAATTTTTCTGGGGTCCTTTGAGCACAAAGCGACCAAAATGCAGACGCCGCCGCTGTCGCTTGCAAGCAGGCAGGCACATCTTGCGGGTCCAGAGCACACACTCCGGTCCAGTTGGTATCGCGAGGAAGAAGCGCCGCCGCCACGAGCACATGGGTCGCCGACGGTTCCAGCATGTTGGAGACGCTCGTTTTGTGGCATTGGTTGTGCGAAACAAACATTTCTGTCAAGCCCAAAGCGATGCGCGCTGCCGAGTTTCGAAGGACCGTCGGACACAGCGGTGAGCCACCGAGGGTGTAGAAGTCGGCGGCCAGCCACGGAGGCGGAACCGGCGACGCGAGATACGGAGGTACAGCATCAAAGGCATCTTGGAGCGCTTCCGATGCAACACGCGCCGCTGCGATCGAGAGAAAAGCCGACCGAAGCAGCGCCTGCACGGACGCTGGCATCGCCACGTACTGCAGATCCACGGACCCAAACGGCCCGAGTGCACCGCGCACCAGAGCCAGCCCTTCGTCCAGCGGCGCGGTGAGAGTGCGGTTGAGGAAGAGCATGGACTCGAGCGACGAGGCGTTTTGATAAGCGTACGCTGCTGAGCCCCGCACGAGCGAAGTCCCCGAGAGCGCATACGTGTGATTGCCGAGTAACATTGTGAGGTCGCTCCCAAAGCCCCAGTACATCTTGAACGACGTCTGCAGCGGAAAACGAAAGCTGCCGTTAGTTGCTTGGATCGTAAACGGATATACGCTGCCAAAGGCGCTCGTGACGGTGTACGTCTGGAGTACTCCAATGTGCTTGTAGTTTTGCCACTGCATCTCAAACGACAAGATACCACTCGTACGCCAGTAGGCCGCTTCGTCCGTGATATCCACAGTCGCTCGATACTTTGAGGTTGTGGACGCAAGCCAATTACGTCCAACGTTGGTCTCGTTCAGCGTAGCGCCAACCGCGAGGTCGAATGCGACCCCCCGCCAGGCATCCGACGGGACATTGCGAAGGACCGTCTCGAGGTAGACGGCACCGTTGGTGGTCATGGAGGTGGCGCACCGTTGCTGGCGGCGTCGCGTGTTGGCAAGTTCCCACTGCTTGTTCAAATCAACGTAACAGTAGGCTGTCGCAAGCCACGGCGCATGACAGCCGTTCGTTTGGCGTAGACCGGAAACCGCCGTTTCAAGCGAATCAGAAAGTGCAATCTGCAGCATGGCGCCGTAATTGAACGGTACGACAAGATGTGAAGAAGAGCCATTGAAGCTGCCGTAGAGGTTGACACTAGGCGACGTTAGCATCGTCGGCAGCGCACCGAGCAAGGACGATTGGACAAATAGCATCACAAGAAAAGCATGCGCGCCCGTCATGTTGAAGTCAGACCACACGAGGTCGTTGCCGAGCAAGGTTCGGGAGACGCCAATGTACGATACGCTCGCAGAGATCGAAAGCAGCATATAGACGGCACCAGCAAGAGCCATGACATGGCGAAGCCACAGCATCTTACCATCATGGAGGGCGACGTCGGGAGCGAGCAACGGACCTAAACTTTGCGACGATTCCAGCGTGCCAAGGAGGACGTTGAACGTAAGAATTTTCTTGCCGAAGGCAATGGGAAGGATCCCTGCCATGACTGACGTCACCGCGTCGTCACTCAGGGTCCTGCAAGCAGAGCTCTTTAATGGCACGATGGCATCGACAACGCCCGGCACAGATGCGCTGCGATGAAGCGTGCGTACGTTGCGACAGCGCGCGACCAAACCCAGCGCAGAGACGACCCCGACTTGGATAAACACAAGCGTCCAGAGTCGCGTCGCCGACCCAGCGTATAT